GTGAATTGTAACATCTCTCTATTATACCCAGGGAACATTTCAGCTATTAGGAAGTAAAATGACTGCATGAAGTATAGACCATGACTTCTCTCAGGATTTTCTTAGCAGCAGCGCTGAATTAAGACATTCTCGGACCCTTTACCTTTGCTGAAAATGAGGATTAATTCACTGTTCAGCTCTTTGCATTTGGCCCCAGTGGCACATAAGCAGTTAAGCAGAACCCACAACAGAAGAGCCTATTCTCATCACAGATCAGCCAACTGTTGTAGGCCCCATTTACACTGTGGACCTAAAAACTGTTGCTGTACAACTGAGAGCAAAGAAGGGTATCCAGTCCATCAGTCACCATTGCCACCAAGGAAAGGAGGGGAAAAAGTATATGGAACTGCATCTTCATGTTGAAATGATAGGTGTTACATAAATATGTTATGAAATTACTATTAAAATCACTTTTATTTCATAAAACTTGGACATCAAAATATGACATTTAGTATTATTTGTAGCCTTAAAATTGAATTATCACCATGCCTAGCTAGTACATGGCAGAGCACTATGATCTCAGAAGAGTCTCTTTCACAGTCACGAGAGCTTCCCACATATTAATAAAAATTATTTAAATGAGCAGTCACTAAGTGAAGCCAGAGAAAATATGAATGAAGGCTACCACCTCTTTCCACTTGAGCGTTACACAGTTTCAGATTTCAGGTACAAGCAAATCCGCACACTCACCTAATTCTGAGCGTATTTTCACAGTGTCTGTTTTAATCAAAGCCGCACGTTTCCTACAGACTCAAGCTCCGTTTCATTTACAGAGCTGAGGCCTTCCAAAATGCAGCAGCATACAAATGCTACTCAGCCCACTCCTCACATCATTTTTCTGCTCCTCGGGTATAGCATAGTTTTTCTATAAAATACTCATCCTAAATAAGCTCAGTGGTACTTAATCAGATCTCAGGAGGCTATATATCCCTTTGCCAACACTGACCTTGGCTGGGAGTTAATCCCATAGCTGTAAGTGGTTTGGCTGTGCCTCTCTAAAGAAGGAGGAGCTGGTTAGAAGGCCCCTTCAGTAACACCAGAGTCTTTACCTCTTGTTATAGCACTAAATCTTGCTGTCATCAGACATTGACAAACTTCCACGGTACTGAAATTTTAGATATCATATGTATTACTGATTTAAACTACACTTAATTTTAGTCTTTGCCTAAAATAAGTGAAAAACATTTTTGAAAAAAAATCACCACGCTGCGGTATAGTTCTACAATGCTGATACTTGTACGGACAAAGGTAACTATAAAAGAAGCAGCTAACGACTTGATCTTTCTAAACTATGCAAAGGAATAAACTTAGCTGGTATGAGTAGTTTTACTGAACAAGCCCGGTTATTCAACACAGTAAAAGCTAGTTATATATGTAAATATTGTACAGTAAACTGCTTACTAATCAAATTTATGCTTTTCAGCTGATTTTTATTTTGACATTTTTAAGATAGTATCAAATCATCTTTAAATTGTTTTTAAAACATACTTGATCATTTTGAAAATCAAATTAATACAACCAACTCTCTGATAATTACATTTTGCCTAGATTCTGCTGCATTGTAGTGCTTTCGCGTTGCCCAAACAAAGCTTGTTTCAGGACAATTTTCATTTATTCCTGAGAGAGTCTAAACCACAGTACTATTCATGAAGTACAACAACCCATTATAATGTATGTTTCATAATTCAAAAATGATGTGCTGAATACTCTTGTGATTTATTTAACCTAAATGTCTAAAGACTTAGCCAGGGATTTTCAACCTTTTCAACTTGCAGATCCCCTTAGCGGTCTGTAGCCATGCACAGAAAATTTATTTCTAACAAAAACAGACTTGCGTCTTTTAGTTACTTCCCACAGACTCCTTGCTATTATGTCATAGACTCCAAATTTCTAAAAGCAGCACTGCAGACTAACCAATTACCTAGAGCTGGCTGGTAACAAGAGAGATTAAATTAATATAGGTACTAGAGGACTGGGACTTGAGAAATAATATTCCATATTTAAACTCAACAGTGTAAAGATCATTTGTTGCTTTGAACCCAATATAGCAGCAATTAATAGCATAGCGTAGAATGAAAAAAATATAGAGAGTAATTTTATTCTGTCACTGAAGAAAAACCCCACACCTCAATTCAACAGTGAATCGGGATTAAATAGACTGGATTTAAACCAACATTACAATTGTCTGTTCTTCATAAAACCAGGTACCACCATGTTAGGGGAAAGTGCAATATACGTCATTTGCATGTGGGCTTGCTATAGAGGCGACGAAGGTAAGCAAATCCACATTGTCACCAAAATGCTACAGTAGTGTAAGCAAAGTGCGTCAGTAGAACAAGAAAATAAAATATTCTTGCAGTGATACTGTAGCCTTTCAACCAATTTTTATAGCTGTTTTTAGAGATAACTTTGCAAACGCTTGCCGGCTGGTGACTGGTTTTGGTTGGCTCACACAAGGGTGGGAGTGCGCTGCGAGCGGGCGATGTGCTCACTCTGCCTCTGGAGTACCTATAGACACGGGAACCAGAGGGACAGCAAACTGAGAAACAGGAAGAGGTGGGGAAAGGAGGGGGAAGCCTCATAGCGAGGGCTGTTATTTTGTTTCCAAACCCAACAACCATGCATGTCTATGCATGAGTTGAGTAGTCATTAGGAAACTCATTCATGGAACAAAGTTGTAGGTACATGCAGAGATTGTCTTCACTTTTTCAAAGAACTGTAGTATTGCTCTGGAAAAAAGATGGCCTACAGGTTTGTCACAAGTTCAGGGTAATGTGGTTAGCAGGCAAAGTCTAGAACAGAGTTACGGCCAAAGCCCAGCCCTCAGGATTCAAAGCAAGATAAAATATCTGATCAATCTCCAGACTGACCTGTACAGCACCTTCAACTAGCTTAGGATCAGCCTGCAGCTGACAAATTTTGCAGGTAAGTGAGAAGACTGTGGACCTGGGAAAAAAACAGGTGGAGGCCTGGCAAACCAGCGTCCCACCTGGGGACTCCCAACTAACGGGTACGGGACAGGACCTATACCTACAACCTGAATACGGCACACAAGAGTGTGCCAGATTTCAGATATGCGATATATTTAACAAAGTTGCTGCCCACCCCACAGCAGGGCTGGTGAAACACAGCTTTTATATTCATTGGGAGAGGCTTCATTTGCAAAGACTTTGTCAAGCGATAGCAGAGGGGTTTAGTTTAAGCTCCTGAAGAGAGGGGATCGCCAGAGAGGCGGTACTCACCAGAGAGTCAGTGGAATTGCAGTACTGGCCAGATGACCACGGGGATGCAGCACAGCCAGATTCAGCAGAGTGAATCCCCACAGTGAATTCTGGAAACATAATTTAAGGAGAATTTAGCGTCTGCAAAAACTGTTCAGTAACAACAGAATACAGCTTGCAAAACTCATTTCAAATCCTTTTGTCTACCACCGTCTGTTTCCTCAAGTACTGTGTCTAAATTAGGTTTGTAAACAAGAAGGTGTGGTAGAAAGGACCTACATGCTACAACTACCTGAATAAATACCGAGAACAGTGAAGAATTGGGTAGGATATAAAAGCAAAGACTAGAGGGTGCCAAAATAACTAATGATACTTTCTTGAAAGGAATGTCTGATTGATAGAAAGCCCAAGGAACGACTTCTACCAACAGTGGCAAACCGCCAGTCCCCACGAGTCAACCCCGCCAGGCGAAACTGCTGTTGGCGGGCCACGCAGGGCAAACAGCATCAACATCTGGCAACTGCCACAGCTGCAGGCTGGGAAATCAGCCGGTCCCGACTTCAGAGGGACCGGGAGAGCACAGCAGCCGGGGTGTCCTGGAAGGGGCTCCTCAGGAGCCGCCGATAGCCAGCGCTGCCATGGCCGCGGCCTCCCAGCCATCTCCAGCCGCCGCTCCCGCGGAGCCCCGGGGGCGAGGGAGGCT